TGTCCTACCCACTCTGATCACTGTACTGAATGGGCTCCAGGTGTCCTACCCAGCCCTGATACTGAATGTGCTCCCCAGTCATGTTCATTGTACTTAATGTGCTGCAGGCAGGCATCTTGATCAGCCCTGTCCTGTCTTCCTAGAGCCACAAGGACAAGGTGCGGCAGAAGGAGAGACACAAGAAGTCATCCGATGGCCTGTCCAGCCTGAGCTCGTCTGTCCCGGTCAGTGTGGAGAAGGTGCGTTGGCCTGCTGTGGAACACTACAGGCTTGCTTCTGCCTGCTTTTATTTAATTAGCTCTTGATTCTCTTTGCGGAAATGCACATGGTTCACAGATATAATTGTGGCCTCTACACAGGCAAGGTGTTTGCAAGATCAGATCTGCTTTCGTTTATACCCGTCTTTCTCAACGTTTCCATTCCACAGCACACACATCACTTGCCCAAGCCTGTTATTTATATTTTTAACTGAATTTATTTCAGATTTTAATCTGAGTTTTGCCTTGAAAAGCACAATCGTCTTATCGTGGTGATGACAGTGAAAGTCAGTTCTCTACTTTTGATTTTTAAGTTCGAACTCCCCCCTGTGTGCAGTGTCAGGTGTGTCCCCAACAAGCAGCACAGCACAACACTTTGGTTACTCCTCAAAAATAATGAATTGATATACAATATTGAATACATGTATTTTTCATTATTCTTGTATGTGAAGTTTGCACAATTTGGCGGCACACTGGGGATGTATGAGGGCATACCGCAGCGAGATCGCGGACGCTGTCCTGACGAGATCTTCCTCGGTGGGGTCCTGAGCTCTGCCGTAGTCTCCTAAACTGCTAGTGTGTGTGTGGAAGGACTGACCTTGCTCACGCATGGGATGCACACCAGGGTTTTAAGCATTTCCAGCTCAAGCCACAGGTTCCTTTTGTTATGGGGAATAACAAAAGGCTGTAAGCCAGTTGCGTAAGGCATGTGATTTGAACTATGGCAAAGTGTATTAGAAATTGTCTGGAGCTCCAGTTCTGCTGTATTTAAACTCGGGCACCCAGATCATCTCTGCTCTACCTGGTGTAGGACAGTCTCTTTCAGACCTGAGCTGTTATTGGCGATCAGTACAGAAGTGGTGTTGTTGTTGATGTTGTCCTGTTTGTTTAGTGTTCAGAGCCTCTGTAGGAAGTTGCTTCCCGCTTCTTTGAAGAGATCTGCCCGTCTCGCTCCCACCCCCTCCTATGCAGCTACCTTTCCCGGTTCAGACAGGGGGACAATACAGGGGGTTTGGTTGGATCCTGCTGTTTCCCATTATGCCAGGGCTGTGCATCCAAAAGCAATCAGCCATGTACTTGCAAATGCAGCACAAATAAAAGCATTAATTGAATTATTAAGGCACGGAAAATTGGAGTCCTGTCTAGGGGTCAGTCCCCGACAAAGCCCGGCCTCTCGGAGGGTAACTCGCAGCACATGTGGCGGCAGCCCCACGAGGGGGGGCAGCTCTGGAATGTGACCCTGCTTGTCCGGCTCCAGATGTTGTGTCAGGAGCAGGAGAGGGAGACACTGGGGGGCAGCAGTCGTGCGCATGAGTCTACATGTGTGTACACGAGGATCCTGTGTGTGCGTGCACATGAGTGCGAGTGCGAGTGCGAGTGCGAGTGCGAGTGC